CCATTAGGGATTACAGTTTAATTATACGCAGCCGTACAGTATATGACATGTTCATGCAGGAAAGTTTGTGATCAAACGTCGATAGTTGATGAGAGTTGACAGTCACGCATTATTACAGATGACATTTCAAGCTCTAGATTAACAAAATAAAGGTTTGATAAGTGTTCCAACTATGTTCTAACTAAGAACAGCTCAGCAATGTCGCATGACTGCAACCTCTCGTGCACTCTCATCCTCGCTTGATCACGGCTTTGTATTGTCATGTTACAAAGCAAATTGTCTGAAATTAGTCCATTTCTAGTAAACTTCGTAACGTCAGCGACATATTTTCACATTAAGGCGAGAAGTAAGCTGCAACTTCGTTATTAATAATCGATTGCGAAGTCACTCGCAAGTTTAAATCGACCAAACGGTCATAACAAAAGTTCGCTATTTACTCACTAGAAATACATATCACAGCTGGTTACAAACCCACCTTTTAAAGTTCCTCTACATATTTCTTCTTTTCTTGTTGAAATAAATGGCAATCACGATGTATTATAGTATTAAACGTCGGGATTTTGTTAATAAAAACGTTTCAACAAAGGCAGCTTTTACATTTAAAACGCCACACCAGTCAAACACGGAAGGAGGGACTTTCCCCTCCCAGAAACTTGATCCGGTGTTCATGACATCACAGTATTCACATTCACAGACACAGTTCCGTAATGAATTGTATATATTATTTTGCGATACCATATTAACTTAAGATGTGTAGTTGTGAGGGTTTGTGATACACCACTGTCGCTCATACTTTTTGTGTGTGTTGGTGTTATGTACTCAGGTGAATATGATGTTTGTGATGTTACTCTGACAGACATTCCAACTCTCCCGATTTTACCGGGAGTCTCCCGAAAATTCATGCAATCTCCCGGTCTCCCGATTTTTATCAAATTCTCCCGATTTTTCAGAATATTCAGGAAATATCATAAAAATATTATAAATATACTGTTTTTAGCAACATAATAGTCTGTCTCGGACCTTTTTTGAAGTTACTTTATGGCAATTTATAGGATCATTTATAACAACATAGTCCCAAAATGCAGGAAACGCCATTTCAGAAGACTTAATTTTTATTATTTTTTCCCAGAAGAACTAGATTTCAATTCACTGAACAGTCTCCCTAAATTTTACCTCCAGTAGTTGGAATGTCTGCAAATATGTAAAGGTATATGACGAATAAACAACAATCCAACTATTTATCACTTAAATTTATAAACGATGAAATTTAGTGGAGAGTATGATTCTTTAACTCAAAAGCTCCGCATCCACGAACTTTGCAAGCTACAAAAAAATTTGGATCGTGGCGATGGCATCGACCGTAATGATTGAATATTGTGGCAATTTCACGTGCTACAAATGGCACACGATTGCCTCTGCACATTTCACATTCTCGTCAAATTAATCTATTATCAGTTTTTATTTGCTGCGTAAATTAATCTGTAATTTGAACTTATGGAATGTTCTATTGCGGAATTTTGCGGAATATAATTTGCGACAAGTGGAAGTTCCAGAATTTCAACTATTTTTTAACCAATTAACAGCTTAGAATATATCACGTGTTGTAGTAATTCGATCTGTTAATAACAAGCGCTATGTTCGATCTTTTGGGAGCAAACATTCAAAGAGTAAAGAATTTTTATTCAAATTTTCTACTTATAAAGTTCCAAAGACCTAATGAAATACATGGAATTTGTTTTCAAAGGTATGTCTCTTGTGTATTTACTCATTTGTATGCGGATAGTTACTTGATATAATGTATAGTTATGTTTTTAAATCGAAGGCCTGTATTTGTATTAATACTTTTTCACCGAAGGCATCTAAACGTTCAGTTGTAAATAAAATTTTCGATTAGTTTCTATTAGCAGAAGTGTATAAATCTAATCTACACTCTACTTATTTGTGTTTTAAGGAAATCGTATAGCTTATTTGTGTGATATACATGTATGTTATATTTCCTGTGAAATATTTGCCATTTATAGTTGACATGTATAGTATGTATACTTACAAATCACATAATGCGCGAATCAAAATGTGATTTGTTTGAAGTCACATTAATAGCATATAGATAGCATTGTAATGGCCCGTCTCCCAATATTACCCAATGTATGGCATGTGCTTGCTATGGTAACCCTCCATCGGTCACCCTAAAACATGTGTGAGGGGCTGCTTATATGGTCAATATGGAGGAAAGCCAGCCCAGGTAACCCGGCTATAGCTTGCTTTCCCTGGATGAATGTCTGTTTACATGAGCCTCTTTAGATGGGTAGGCTCACCAAATTGAATCACCCAGACTGAGTTATATAATAGAAGCACATTTTCCAATAACCAACATCTTACTTTTGCAGACAGTTTCGAAATGTAACTGACAAAAACAATTACTGAGATATTTTAACGCTTTAAGTGGCAATGCGCCCTACTTTATTATTTTACTTTGTTTAACATCAGACAATTTTTCTCGTCAGGGGAGAATCTGCCCCTCAATGGGTTAATCAGACTATCTGCCTATAGGATGCACCCTGTTTACCCTGTAAGTGGCAATGTGCCCAGATGTGCCCTACTTTATTATTTTAGTCTGTCTTACGCCTGACGATATTACTCGTCAGGGGGAGAGTGCTTGAATCCAGTACATGCACTACAAAAAAATTATCCGACAATAAAAACATAAACTTAAAGATGCCCAGATTTTTGTGGCAAGGTAACTTGCCCAATTGGGCAAGCAAGATAAAACATTTACTTGCCCGTCATGAATTTCACTTGCCCCGGGCAAGTGGGCAAGTGTTAAGTTACACCTCTGCTTGCTTTGTATACTAGAAAACAACCAAAAATAGCAAATTCATTGTCACTCAATCAATAATTTGCTTCTGTTATATATCAACCTTATATATTTTTTCTTAATTAATAGTGGTTGTATTTAATATGGATTCATTATATCTTGTGATGCTGAATGAAAAGTTATCGAAGCATTGCAGGAGAAGGCAAGTCATCTAAACAAGTGGCAATATATATAATCATTGATGGCATTCTAAGTACATTATGGTCTATTTGGAAAATGTTATTCTTTTGCTGGAGAGCATGTTTATGGATTACCAAACCACGCAAGGAAAGGACTAGGAGTTGCCGACTGGTGGTATAGTACAGCTTGTTTTGTACTAAAATTTAACTAATGAACTTGCACGACATATATATGCTTGATTGAGTACTGACAATGCACGCAGTGTATTTTACTTGTAAATATTCAAGATTGAACAGAATGTTTAACCCTTTAAGTGGCAATGTGCTCTACTTTATTATATTATTATTTTGTGTCCAATGCCAGGTATGCTGCCACTCAATGGGTTAAAGTCTTTCTGTAGATGGAAATATTGAACAATAACTATGTAATAGCTGTTGTGCCGGGAATGGAACCCCTGTGATTCAGATCAGCTCCTTAATTGCAAAGAGTACATTAAGCCCCAAGAGTCAATGGAGAGTTTATGTATATAATACTAGTGTCATCCCACTTTATTTATTATATATAATAATACTACCACTGACACCACCATGGTTTATATATGTGCAGCAACTTGTGGTGACCTCTTGGCAAACAGACACTTTAAGTCAGAGGGCTGCAGTAGAATTGCAGGGCTGCAGGTTCAGTTTGTGCTGGCAGACTTGCAATTGCTCTCAGTTATTTGAAGTTTGTTCGTTCACTGCAACCAGGTATATCAATCGTGTTTTGCTCGCTACTCTGGTTTAAATAAATGATTACAAAGCCCAGTCGAATTGTAATCAAGACCCAACGTTTTGACACTCCAGTCTAGTGTCTTCTCTAGGGGTGATCTAAGGTTGCAATTGTGGTTTCTTAAATACCCAAGGGATGACATCACCTGCCAATGAGATGCATGTATTCCTCTGGCAAATAGGCACCGTTATCCCTATTCACAGCGTAATTACTCATATTTATATGTCATGCTTCTAGGCATAGTCTTTGACCATTGCGATTGTTTGTGGCAATTACTTTAGAGTTTTCCCATACAATCTTGTGTTTGGTGTCACACACATGTTCTGCTAAAGCTGATTTTCCCTTGTTTAAAGTTGAAACAGTCTTTTGATGTTCTTTTAGCCATGTACGAAACTGGTGATTACACTGACCCAAATACTCTTTCTCGCAGTCACCGCATGGTATAGAATATACAGTATGAGTTTTCTGATTTGTTTTAACAGGATCTTTTGGCTTTGCAAAAATATGGCTTAATGTCAAATAGGGTTTTAAGGCAACCTTAATATTACATGCATCTCATTGGCAGGTGACGTCATCCCTTGGGTATTTAAGAAGCCACAATTGCAACTTTAGATCACCCCTGATGAAGACACTAGACTGGAGTGTCGAAACGTTGGGTCATGATTACAATTCAACCAGGCTTTGTAATAATGTATTAAACTAGAGTAGCGAGCGAAATATGCTCTCAGTTAGTTCTATGAAACACATGTTAACTGTACAGTTTCCATTTGAAATATTTATCTACAAAAACCCAGTAATCAGTCTGCTATTATTGCCTTACTAGAGTAGGCTCTTGATTGTCTCCTATATTTAATATTGGCTATTTGCAACATCCTGCAATCCATCATATTATACACATGTTCCCATGATATCATCAGTAAAAATTTGAACTTAGAACTGCATTCAAAGAATGTTATCGAGCGTACGAATGTATCATTATATATGCTAAAGCAAATTGTCTTTCCTATTATAATACTGTATACCTTATATATAGAGGGATAATAAATTATTTTGACTCAAAAATATCTTTATTGATTTCTAAGGTTAATCAATCAGGTGTGTTACAGCAGCATGCCTTAAGTTACTTTAAGGTGTGTTGCTGTAGCACGCCTTATGGTGTGTTACTGTAGCACATCTTAAGGCGTGTTACAGCAGCACACCTTAAAGGTGTGTTGCAGCAGCACACCATAAGGTGTGTTACAGCAGCACACCATAAGGTGTGTTACAGCAACACACCAAGGTGTGCTAACAAACACACCTTTTCTCAAAACACACCTAAAGGTGTGTTGTTTTCTGGACAAGCATAAAACACACGTTAAGGTGTGCTACTGTAACACACCTTAAGGTGTGTTGTTTTCTGGACATAAAAGGTGTGTTGCTTTAGCACACCTTTTTTTAAGAGTGTATATATTGGTTAAAACCCGTTCAAACGTCGCGCTTATGCCGTGCCGAACGCACGATCAGCTGAAATGCCTCATTATTTATTGTGTTTAATGCATTCGGCATGGCAGTAGCGCGACGTTTGAACTAGGCCTTAAGGCCTTATTTGCGTACTTTGGTGTTATCATGCTTTAACGTGATTGCATGTGCCAAGGGTTCAAGGTTTTAAGAAGTTTAATGATTTTTAGATCGACCCTTTCATAGCGCTAAAACGACCCTTTTAAGCAACTAAAACGACCCCATGAAAGGGCTTTTATACTCTTTGAAGGGGTAAAAACGACCCCTTATAAAAAACTACCCTTCGCAATGACTCCAAAATAGGAGCTGAAATGACTCCGCCGAAGAGCCAGAATGACCCCTAGAAAGGGTCATTTAGACTTTTTTAGAGGGTCAAAACGACCCTTTGAAAGAGTAACATTGTGACCCTTTGAAGAGCCAAAATAACTCTTTGTGAGGGGTAGAAACGACCCTTCCGAGGAGTAGCCTCCGAAGGGGCTAAAATGACCCTTTTGAAGGGGTCGTCTTGGGGTCAAAAAAACGACCCTTTTGAAGGGGTCGAAACGACTCCTTCGAATTTACAGTGTACAAATACACTTTTAATCATACACGAAACTCATTTAGTTATTTCATAAGAAACTTGTAAATGGATTTAGACTTTTCCGTGCGTGCACGCATATATAAAACACGCTTAACTGGAAAGCAACCTTAATTAGCTCATGATTAATTATGGATTTGAGAAGCTAATTTGATAGAAAAATGACCCCACTGCGTTTTTATATCTCACATTAGAATACTGACCTGAGGGATTTCTTCATCGCGCAATTAAAACTAAAAAAAGAATCATTGGGCGAAGTGTCAGAAGATGATATCGAGTTTTCTGAGAATGAAAATAATCAAGAAATGGCTGATGAAGATAAAGTAGAGGTTAAAGACGTTCCCTTGCAAATAAAGTTCAC